CCATCTTGGCTCCTGAGGCGCCAGTGGCGGGAAAAGGCGGCACTCGGTGGAGATGTCCTCTCCCTCACTCCGAGCCCCTCTTGGGCGGGTTTTCCCCCAAGTTTCATCTTGACCTTGCTCTAAAGCCGCCTCAGGTGCCGGCTCGAACCTTTTTCTAACACTTTTTACCTCAGAATTCGAGAGTCGTCGAAGGCTGCGGCGTTCCCGCCTTCGCGCGCTCTGCGCCGCCTGACCCCCGTCAGCCGCCGTAGCGCCCGCACCGACCCGAAAGAGGCGCGGGAGCAGCAGAGCCAATGAGCTCCGGCCTTACTGTGCGGGGCCGGTGCCCTCAGCCAATCGCGCCGCAGCCCCTTCCAACCGTGGGCGCAATGGCGGCCGCCAGGAGCTGCGGCCGCGCCGCGCTGGGCGCGCTGGGCCGCGATGGCGGCGGGGCCGCGGCGCGATGGGGAAGGGCTCTGCCCGCGGGCGGCTCCGCGCTGCGCCTGCCGCTGCCCCCGGGCCGCTCCGCGCTGCGCTGGGTGCCCGCCCGAAACGCCGCGGCTGGGCCCGGGCAGCGGCAGGCCGTGACGGTGGAGGTGGGCGGCAGGTAAGGGGCCCTGAGGGGAGCGGGTGCGGCGGTCAGGCCTGTCCCGGCGGGAGAGGAGGCGAACGTGAGGGGAAACTGGTGCGAAAGGCGGAGTGTGACGAGATTGGCTTAACTAGGGATGTCCTTTGATGGCGATCTCTGCTGGCAGGCTTAAAAACACGCAGAGAATGAGCCTTAATCGGTGAAGTCATCCCTTGGAGGGATTCGGGAATAACGAGCCCTGAGGATGCAGTAAATCGAGAGGCTGATGGGTGTCTGTGGGTACAGCTTGGCAAAATCTCCAAGGCATGGCTGGAACTCCAGCTGACAGGAAAAAAGGAGCAGGACACTCGAGGCTAAAGCTCATTCAGGTTAAGAAAACTGGGTCACTTTTGGCCCAAGAGATTCGGTTTCCATACCTGAGGTGGACGTTTGCCTTGTGTGAAATGTAACCTTTGTTCTGTGCAGCTGGGGCTGCAGATTAAAGCAGAATTGCTGGAAAACTTAACTTGAATCCACCACGAGTAACAGGGTGCGTCTCTCCCTTAGGAAGATGGAGCTGTCTTCTGGAAAACTCGCCAAGTTTGCTGATGGATGTGCTGTTGTTCAGGTAAAAGAAAATAAGTGGTGAAAATTCGTGCAACTTCAAAGTTTCTGCGTCTTAAAAGTCATTGTTAGGGAATCAGAGCCTGGTAGATGTGGGATATAGAGACTCAAGGAGCAACTTAATCACCAGTGAAAGGACAGCGGTGTTTTATAGGAGAAAAACTGTTTGAGAAGCACAAATATTGGCATGAAGAGGAGATTTATGTAGTTGTGTCCTCCGAAGAATAATTCTTTTTTCACAGTTTGATTTGTGAGTAAGTTTAGAACATCAGACGTTATTTTATTTGCAGGTAAATTCAATTTTTTTATCTTTTTTCTTCAACCCAGCTGGGTGACACAGCAGTGATGGTCACAGCAGTCAGCAAAACCAAGCCTGCTCCATCTCAGTTCATGCCATTAGTGGTAAGTGCTTCCCAGAACGTAAGTTTTGTGACCATTTGTGGGAGATTTAGCAGCAGAGTCCCCAAACAGTGGAGGTCAGGACGCTGTGGGGAGTGAGGAATGCACATGGATTATGAGGCTTAAAAGGTTGTGACTGTTAAGGATTGGCACTACAGGATTAGGGTTGGAACTGGATGACCCTTAAGGTCCTTTCCAGCCCAAGCCAATCTGTGATTCCATGATTTGTGTTCCACCCTGAGGCTGAGGAACAGTGGGTCCCTCAGGGACCTACCCTGGAACAGAGCCTGTTTCATCCATGTCATCTGAATTCTGGGTTGACCTTGCTCTGAGCAAGGGATTGGATTATAAAATGTATATAAAATGTAATCATACTATTAATTACGTAAAGTGTCTGTTCTGAGTGTCTAGGTGGCTCTGCTATAAGTGGCATTTGCCTTCAGGCATCTGTTTTGTTTTCCAAGGTTGACTATCGACAGAAAGCTGCTGCAGCAGGAAGAATCCCTACAAACTACCTCAGAAGAGAGCTCGGCTCCACTGACAAAGAAATTCTCACAAGCAGAGTCATAGGTGGGCTGCAACATTTTAGTTACAACGCATGTTAAATGTTTTGTGATGTTCTCATGGGTGTTTGAGAACGCAGCCGTTTGTAGCTGCTGTTGGCAGAGTTGATTTTCTGTGGGAATGCCAGGAAATAAAGCTGTAGCTCCTTGTTCATCAGTCCTGATTGGAATTTTAGGATTGTGTATGTCACAGTAAATCCCTGCCTGGGTTCTGTGCCTTTTCTGGGTGTTTCATTTAAATAATTCGGTCAGGTTATTGTGGGGTTAGTGGCAAGACGAATTGAACATCAACTACTGAAAACCAACTGCTTCTTAGACTCTGGTTGTTTCTTCTGCAGATCGGTCAATCCGACCCCTCTTCCCGGGAGGATACTTTTATGATACACAGGTGGGTCCTGTGCCCTCCAGCAGGGAGAACTGGGGCATGGACAGTGAAAATCTCACGTGACACAGGCAGTGCCTCAAGAGAAATGATTTTTACAGATATCCAGGGAGGGTTTACACTTGGCAGAGCATTCTAATAGCGTAGTGCTGCTCTTTGGTTTGTCGTTAAATTACTTTCGTTACATCCCAAGTTCCAAATTTTGTTGTCCAGATAGAAAAATAGAATTGAAATCTCTGCACAACAGAGGCAAGAGGAGCCAGTAGTAGGTGTTCTAGGTATGGCACAATGTTATACTTTAGTGGGGTTTTTGTCAGCTTTCTACTTTAAATACCTGCACAAATTTCCATTTTGCAGTCTGGGCTTGTGTGGGTATGTGGAATGTTCTGCTTTACTGTCCTTAGCTTTGTATTGACAGCTAATTAAAAAAAAAAAAAAAGGAGTAGGACACAATTATTCATTGTCTTTTATCTTATGCCAGATCCTTTGTAATCTTTTAGCAGTAGATGGTGTCAATGATCCTGACATTCTGGCAATTAATGGAGGTAAGAGGGCGGGGAGGAATCACTGCTTGTGTGGGATTTTGTGGGATCCATTTTCCCTAATCCAGGCTTTTATGTCTTGTTTTAGCTTCTGCAGCACTTGCATTGTCTGATATC